AGTGAAAAATTCAAACATCTCATCTATTCCTTACAGTTTTCTGAGAAACTGAAAAGGACGCCATCAAAGAGGAGGGAAGGTGTAATGTAGAAGGCGGCTTCTTCAGAGGAGGTGTTTAGTGATCTGCGCCACAATAGGTGAAGACCAAAGTAAAGGGGGTCTTTGAGAGAGGATCTGGAAGGATTAAGGACACCTGAAGGCGCCAGAGCGTATCATCCTGGGCCCGAGGTGTCTTGTGATAAAGTGTGAGTTGAGGTGGAAACTGAAGATCTGGTGCACAACATGAGCACAATGTTTACTGTACTATACAGCTACATAGCACAAGGAGTGGCCTAACTCGAATGTAGATGGTTCAAAGAATGTAGAGATGGTCTTTGGATATTGTCGATATTTATCTTATCGAACAAATGCAGGTGAATCTTTGGATTCATGTAAATATAAGGCACGAACGATTATAATTCAAAATAAAAAGCAAATAGATTTTTATGTACCTATTAAATATTGCTCGATTTCAAACAACGGCTTATCTAGTTTTTCTATCTTAAAGATGATCTATTTTATAGATTTAATAAAATATTTCATACAAAACTAGGGTGGACGGTTCCTTTACTGATTAGTAAAACATGAACTCGTTTGCAGTCGTAAAACCTCTTTGAAATTGAGTCAAGGAAAACGAGTAAAAACATTATAATAGCATTTGATAACTAATAATTTAATAGGAACGTGACTTAAGGAATGTATTTATTAACTTTGCCTTGATAGCTTCATTTAGTAGTTTGGTTGTATCAAAATTATCAATATTGAATTCTACAGGTTATTTTATGGGTTTTTATATGGAAATCCCCATTAAAAGTCCAAATTTAAAAAAAAAATACCTGGAGATACCATGGATTAGTACTGTACCTACATACCAAATTTCATCAAAATCCAGGTATCTGTAGCTCTGCAAACACCCACACATACAGACAGACTCGCCGGACAGACATCACTTTGAAAACCACTCGTTTGGGTTTAAGGAGACCCAAAACGGATATATCCACTCAAAAACTCAAACTCGAAAATGTTAACGAAAACGATACCTTACTCTATTTACTACGTATAGGGGGGAGAAAGTAAAAAAAAAAAAAAAAAAAAAAAAACAGTCCTAACCCTAACCCTACTATCCGTTAGTCATACAGTGAAACCCTTTTAGAAATTGGGTAGTCATTTAGCATTGCCTTAGGACACCCTACTGTCCCATACCTGTGTCTCTGAGACGCTGTTTCCTGGGTTTTGTCCCCGTTGCATCATGTAACGCTCGTCCTGGAGCCGTTACAACCTGCATTCCTGTCTCCCGTCTACCTGACAGGACCGGGACGTCCCTCCACCAACCGTCACCACCAAACATTATAATTATAGTATCAAACAGTAATGAGTTTCTAGGGTTATAGGTTGAGGTGAAATGATTAATTAGTGTAAAACTGTAAATTCTGATATACCCCGTGAATGGAAGGAAATTTGTTTTTTTCTCACAAAGAAAACTGATCGGAACTGAATTGAATGCTATACTATTGGAAAATACTACCGGTTCGCTGAAATATAGAGATTTGTCAGTCACAACTGTAATTTTATCATAAGACCACGTACTTCTTCGTAGATCCCGGAACGACGTGAAAACTTCATTTTTTTCCCTAATTTTTGTAGCAAATTTCTGCAACAATGCCTTAAACTACTCATTCGTGTGGTTAAAAAATGTAGTGAGTTGATGTTCAATTAATTTAAAAAATTCAAATTAATGTGTAGTTAGTATCAAGTTAGATATGTTATAACCAAAAATAGGATAATGTACACCACAAGTTTTATTTTGCTGGGACTTTGATTTAATCATGGTTTGATTCTGTAAAGAATTCACAAAATTGGTCAGCACTTGTATTTAGCCAACGAACTAAATATAAATACACTAATTAATCCGTATTTGATAACAACCCAAAATGTGTGTCAACCACGGGGAAGAATAAGCGCGGACGGGACTATTTTTCAATTACGAAGTAGGACCAGTTTACCTGAAAAATAGTTCTAGCGTTGCACTGGTGTGGGGCGCTACAGGTTGGCAGGTACTGACACTTGATACTGTCTATTGTAAAATAAACATGTGTTAGGTAATACTTTACAGGGGAGGGTGGTGACATCCGGTGCGGGACAAAACCGTCAACTGATGACCGATTTTGGAATTTCAACGGTGCCAAAGAAGACTCTGGCAAAAAATTATGGTTACTGGATTTGAAAATGGTCAATGGTCCTGACTATTGAAACAGCTGATTATAGTAACAAAGCCACACAAGGCATCACACTCCTTTCTACACCCATCCTTCTCTCATTTTGGTTAAAATACGCATATAGCTGGCGTCTCCATCACAAATGAATATTGTTTTATGTAGCCTATTGTTTATGTGTCATTTTATTTGTTACCAGTGCTTAGAAACGTGTCATTGGCCTTAGAATATAAAAGCCCTTCGTAGGTGCTGAAAATCGCTATGGTGTTACCATTGTAGATTTCCGTGTTTCACATATACAACATATCCATAGAATGTACTGGCTAAATCTTCCTTGTATTTTATTATTTATTTACTGAATGGAAGTGTATATACACAGCATTTGGAAAAAAATAAACCACACATTTAGAAATATAACCTCTATAATATTCCCATGGTAAATAACAAGTAAGTATGAAATTCTTGTTAGAATAACATGGTAAAAGAAACCCCGGGGAGCATCTAAATCGATATCGAAAGGAAAATTATACACAAACGTTCTAGGTATTTATTTCACTCACATACAGGTATTAATTTGAATAAATTAACAATAGCTAACCACACCACTATTCGAAATGACTTAGTTTTATACGGATTGACAATATTTGCATGCATTGATTCAATGACTTCTGGGAATACTTTTAATACGTTTAATTGAAATGGTCAACACTAGTCGACAACAACTCATTAAAACGTAACCGGGTGTGGTACAAGTCAAAAAAGCCTTCGGATTTACCAATAAGATTAGTCTGATGACAGTACCCAAGTCAATCCTAATACATTTGCATTTTCGGCTTTTACAAAGCAAAATCTACTAAACAACGTTGCAAATAACTCACTGGTGGAAGTTTCAAACAAATTTTGTTACGTCCAACTACCTGGACACATTGTTTGAAAGTATTTACATATACAAAGTCAAAAGACTGAGGATAGCCATTAAACTCTCGTTTACAACAAGGACAGCGGTTCCGCCGAGTGGTTCGGGTTCCAATCAAGCACTGCACGCGTCAACAGCTTTCGGTAATCACCACAAAACCAACAAAGCAACCATGGTCCGCTGGTCTCGTGTCTCGTCGGAACACGCCTACTTTGATAGGATGAGAATGTGTAGGGAAATTGCTTTTTAGTATGTTCAAACATATTTATTCATCCACTCTTCATTTATCTTCTTCATTTATCATCATAGCTCTTGTACATTGGTGGTACAGTGAATAGTGTCGGAAATAGATTAAATAAAAATACTATTTATGGGAGGTGGAAAACTCTAAAAATATAATGCTAAATTGATTATATAATCTTTTGGAATTTTCTAGATTTTGATAGGTATATTTTTTTTTATAAATCAGGGGCAAATAATAAAAACGTTACCAGCATATGAGGGGTTTTTTTAGTTCAACTTATGAGGCTGGACAAACTTACTTCTCCTCCTGAAATTATAGGACTGCAATGAATTTATTATTTCCTCTGATTGATTTTTTGTGGTAAGAATCGTTTTATAAATATACTGCCCATAAACTAGTAAAATTTGTAATTTTTGCCGAATCATCTAGTTTAAGTTTGAGCATAATTCTGATAGACTCTTTTTGCTGCTTCAGAATGATATCCATATTTTTTACCCATACAATGCTAAACAGAATGAAAGATGAGAGTAAATGTGAGCTAAATATATACTTTTTAGGGTTTTAAAATTACAATAAATATACATTTTTGATCATGTGAAAATTCCGGAGATAATTTTGACTAGAAGTTCCTGTGTGTGTTTATCCCAATTCAAGTTTTCATCTATTTTTAAACCCAGAAGGTTGGTTTCATTTTCCTGTTGGATGTTATTTGAATTGTAAGTTATTGTTGGTGATTTTGTTATTTTTTCTGTGCTGTTTTAAAATTTATAAATTTTGTATTATGTGGATTTCATAATAAGCTATGATTGTGGAAATCGTTTCCAATATTCTCTAATTCTACATGTGTAAAAATTTAAGTTTCTTCTGGAAAGTTAGATGATATAGACACAGAACCACAGGCGTAGAGACATAATTTGGAATTTTGCTTGTAGGTTTATGTATCTTCCATGCATTAAGGTAACACAAAATAGCAAAGGTCCCAAGATTGAACCTTGTGGCACCCCAAATTTAATTGGCTGATAAGTTGATGATGATTTGATAATTCTACTAAGATTTGTCAAATGTTTAATTTCCACGAATTGAGATCTATTTGCCAAATAGGATGAAAGGCAATTTAAGAGCTCTTTTAACTATTCCAGTTATTTTAAGTTTTTCTATTAATTTACTGTTACCTAAGGTGCTGTAACTACTAGCTTTATAAACTGTGATCAAATCCCGTTGCAAAACACGAAAAAACTTTATATAAATAATCGATTGCACTCCTTACTGTAGCTAGTAATTTGTGACATTTTGTGAATATTTTCTACAACTAACGAAGCCCATTGACACGAACAATTGAATGACGGTGGTGTTTTGTTGTTCATCAATGAACGGTGAAGCTGATCCTACCTGCATTCATGAATGGAAGGTAGGAGTGGGGAGAGCCATTGTCATGATCACCCAGGACCTCATCTTCTACTCCACAACCAGTCTGTAAGTGTCTCTGTCAAGATGGAAGTTACCTCCACCAGCAGAAAGGTATGTCACACAACAACATGAATCAGTAATGGTTAATCGTTCACCAGTGACTTTAACTCTTATGTAGTAGTGTAGATTGGAAATACAGGGTGTTTAACGCAACCCAAAAATTACAATTACTGTGAGATACTGCGACTAAAAAAGCGTATACGTTGGTATTACTGTTTTACTTTATTGCCGACCAGCTGATACGCATTGTTACATAGTTATCTGTGAGATTTATTGTAATCATGAATTTATCGTAAACTAGCAGAATACCCGTCTTTCGTACGTGGTTGGCGTATAACTATAGAATTCTTATTGCAGACACTAGTGCTCTGCATTTTCAATGGGGGAGGACACGTTTGAGAAAATTTATGGTATGCTATAGTATAACACATCTACCATAGCCATAATGTCATACCACTGCACCTAAACAGTAGAAATAAAGTTAATTATCACACATTGACGCAATATCACATATTATTTATTAAATTAAAAACATAATAATCCTATTGGAGTGGGGACGATTCGCCGTAGTTAACGTTGGGCAAGGTTAGGGTAGCACCAATCTAGGTACTTTAAATAAGTACCAAAGAATAATAATAACTGTAAACAATCCTACTTTGAAAGTTCTCATTGTGTAACACAGCTTTTTGTTGCTGCTTTGTTCCCTAGTCTGTGGTTTGAATTAGCTGCTGTCATAAATGCAAAAGAAGTTATAGTGCTGCACCCTGATGGTAAACCTTGTAACTTTTTAATGCTGTTAAATATCATAGAACTAACTTTTCTTTAATCCCTTTTAAATATAAATAGTCATAAGAATCATGGAAAATGTTAAGCCCCTACAGGGCTTTCACAACTTAAATATGCCTATGTGTTTCTTTAGACTATTAAAAGTACCACTCTGCAAAATTTCAGCTCAATCGGCCCAGTAGTGTTCACTCGATGGAACTTCAGAGTTTCACACAAACGTCCTTACTTACACATTAATAACATCAGTAGGATAAGACTCAACATGATGATTTGATGAAGCTCAGGTAGAGCACGTATCGTAGGTCTACTTTTTCATTGTTTAATATAGATCCGGTTCGCTTAAATTTGTTCCTGTCAATAATAATTGATTAATCAGGTCCTGGAATTTCACCTGAAAATCTAATTTCAACCCTTTCTTGGCGTAAAACCAATTATTTACTTTTAACGTATTCCTTCTAACTCTTTAAGCTTGGGAAACACCATGTTGAGTCTTATTTACAATGACTTCCCAATAATACTAAACCTCATAGATAACTATGCAACCTATATCAGCTGATCGGCAATGAAGTAAATAAAACAAAGATACCAATGTAAAAGCTTGTTTTGTTGTTAAACAGTCTCACAGTAGTTTTGAATTGAGTTTTAAAAACACCATGTACTTATAAATTTGTTATACTTATACGGATTATCTAAAGCTAATTTTTTATGTTTTCATCCGCAGTATTTAGAGTATTTTGGACGTTTCTATAAAAAAAAACTAAACAATTCATACCAAGAATTGTAAGACGTGTTGGTTAGTCTATGATAATATGTAGCATAATATTTCAAACCTTTATCCTCAATAACTATAGTTATTATGATTACGTTGTATATCTAAAACTAATAATATTTTGAACATTTGTTAATCAGTTATCAACTGTGTTTTCTCATTAAAAGATATTAATCATTACTCCATAAAATGTCAAATAACAAATCTTTTTGAGCAGTTGGCATAGGTATATTATGAAGCATTTACATAATTAAGTAATTTTACATACAAACCGTCTTTTTAAGTTTTTTAATTAGCCGTTAAAGATTAACTTAACAGCATTGTTTTACTTAACAGCTCGAGTAACGGACCAATGAGGTCTAAGGATTGAGAGAAAATAAATAAATTGTAATGCTTAGAACATCAACTATAATCAGCTGTTAAGACCAATTTAATTGTTAATGTGTGGTGCAATTTAGTGATTGTTAGTATGAGTCGTTGCATCACTGTTTTTGTCAGTGGCAATGAGAGGTTATAAACGAAAACACAAATTCTCTTAGAAGTTATGAGTAGTGACTTATAGCAATTAAAAAATGGCCGTTGGTAAAGTAAGTGTACGCAACGATCGCTTAAAGATAGTGTTATGGACACGAGTAGAAATTTAAGGTACGAGCCTTAACAAACCTTAAAAACTACTACTAGTACTGATAACTACTTATAACTAGAACTGATTCATTGACACATTTACATTTTTTACACTTACACATTTATGTTTTTCCTATACCTATATGACGATGATTTGAATCACTTTTAATATTGTACCCGCTTAACTATTTGAAAAATTCAAAAATAGATTTTTTAGTTATATAAGACTAGCTCACAGTAGCTTAAGTAGGTCTAAAAACGACTTGTAGTTTTCTCTTTGGGAGATAAGATAAGATGGTTGCCCAATTTTCTTATTCAAGGCTGCAGTAATTTTCACACTACCTATGAAAATATCAACAAAAAATCAGCAGTTGTGTTTTCATACTTTATAATCAGCATTCAATTTGATAATTTGAATCTCTTTGGGCCAAGTAACTATCGGTACGAACTATCTATGCCTACATGTAATAACAAAGAAAACAAACATCGTAAAAACAGACTTTTATTTAATTCTGTACAAACGTGTAAACCTACTTTTATTCGAACGAGCTCGCAAACCAGCATGGTCAGACTATGAGGGCGGGGTTTAAAGGTTAAAAATTGGGGTTTGTCATTATTGACCCCTAAAACATAAAATGTTTCAATTTATTTCCTAACTACTGTACTTATAACTATTTTGTAAAGCTGAAAACAAATAATTCAGTATAATGAAGACTTTTTTAGCCCTTACAGGGGAAATTCCAGAAAACTATAAATTGTAAATTTCTAGTTTCTGTAAATTTCTGTCTATGTAATTCTAATTTGAGAAAAAGTTCTAGTTTGATGGTTTAGGGATATATTTTGATATTACAATATTTGGCAAATGTGTTTATTTCATTATAAGCTATTAACATTTCAATAAAAATAAGCTACATTACCTTCCCTTTAGTAGCAAACCTAATTACTCTTTAAAATTAATGTTATTAGTGAATAGTAAATATGACAATCGAAAATTCAACCAGCAGTTTTGCTATGTTGTGGATAGTTTTCCATTGTGACCGATCAAGCAATCTTTAATTTGATCACTTTAAACATTCCACCACTGAGCTACATGCATTGGCAATTCATAAACATAAACAGAAACCAGTTGGACATTATAAATACCTCTTAAATTCCTGTTTAGCATCATTTTAGCAAACGTTTAGCTATTATATGGAGAACGACTGACAGTTTACAAGTTATATTTTTTTACTATAATATATTACAGTAATTATACAAATATGAATAGTAACTATATCAGAATATGAATTATATCTTAAGCATCCTATATATTAATAGGCAAGCATGTTTCTTGAACACCCTTTTTTCAGCTCGTGTGCATTGTAGGGAAAATCTACGCATACTGTAAGAAATATATATTCCTGTAGATGTGCATAATCCCTTTATAAATTAAAATATGCTAAAAAAGCACAACAAAATAATTTAAAATTTTAAAAAATTAACATGTACTTTATGGGTTGCCATGTTGGTGACGAAATAACAACGAAATATAACAGAAAATCTAAACAAATGTAAGACATTCCTATCACATGTTTTATTTACAGCGTGGGGGGAAAATAGAGATAGTACATTATATAATTATTTTTGGTTGAGTTTTTTACCACTGGACGACCTCTAGTTCTTATAAATGAGACATATTGACAGCAGCACATCCTGTAAAATATTTCCTTCATCAAAACAGCAATACAAGCTAAGGAGTCACAATGAATCGTAAAGAAACCAGTATTTAGAGTCGATGCGGCTTTCAAATTAAAAGTTAAACCAATATTCATGTTCAGTTTGCTGTAATCTATCAATTTACATGCTTCTTTCGTCTGTAGATAAGGAAACCACTGATGGAGAAGAAGAGAAGAGCGAGAATCAACGACAGTCTCAATGAGCTGCGTAGGCTATTGGCTGAGTATTCTACTCAGGTAATCTTTTATAGTTGAATACTGAACCCAGATGTCCTTGAGCATTTGGCTTTCAATAAATGATTCTGGTAACAAGAATATCTTATAGTCAGTAACAAGGTTAATATCTCATTCAATATGTTGAGATCGTGATAGAGGATCACGGATGCTGATAAAATCGCTTTTCCAGTCGTTTTCGGTTTCGACTCACCACAGTTGCGCTGCTCCTATGTACGCTGGACGCTTGACCAATAGGTCCATCTCATCATTTTGGTAATTAGACAAACCCAATTTTCGGTATTGAAATTTTAACATCGGTTCTCGGTACCGGTACTTTTCCCAAGAACTTGTGGTAGCAAGAGTCGTGTTTAAGCACTATTTACAACTTTACTATAGTTATCGTTAGTGTGTTGCACCTTGTGCTTGTACCTTTTCTTAAAGTTACAAGAAGTGTGAAACATTTAATTGTTTTCCTACAGTAAAGGGAAGTGAATTTTCAGCGAATGTGTAGTATTTAACTATCTCTCAGTAATTTAATGTGTGTAGATCTATTATCCAAGTCTTAGTTTATAATGTGAAAATTTAAACACATTTGAGTGAAACATTTTCTGAGCAAACCATCATTCTATTGTTTACGCTTTACATTCGTTAATTGTAACATTACCTCAAATGTTTATCAAAATGTCTTTATTACCATACTTAATTTTATATATTGTACGATCATTTTAACACTATCTCGGGTCATTTTTGGGATTTAATCAAATATAAATTTATATTTACTGTAAAACGGCATAATCACTGAACGATAAGTAAAATAAATGCGTAATACAATTTAATGACGCTCAAAATATTTCAAATACCAATTTCATCTCTACACTGCTTTGTTTAATGTAGTAAATGTCCTACCCCAATTCTATTATTAGTAAACACAGTCCATCGAAAAAAACTACTGAACCGTTGCTTTGTTACAGGAAAGTGAAAAGGCTAAGGCTGCAAAACTTGAAAAAGCAGACATTTTAGAACTAGCAGTAAAGCATGTCCAGTACCTTCACGACAGACTTGGGCTGAGCGGACAGAAAGAGAACAAGCGAGATGGAACTGAAGAGAGAGATCCCCACGAAAACGAGACCAAGAGGACAGTTCTGCGGGAGAGTGTAAGGCTGACGAGACTTCCTAGTGGGGAGGTTGCACTGATCATCTCTACAAGACCTTCCCCACACCTCCAAACACAACCTTCACAACCCAGACTCATGTGGCGACCCTGGTGACTCACAGATTTCATGTATAGACCTTCAAGACATTGTGAGGCTGGCCAGACTTCCTAGTGGAGAAGTTGCCCTGAAAATCTCTACAAGACCTTTCCCACACCTCCAGACACAACCTTCACATCCCAGACTCATGTGGAGACCCTGGTGACTCACAGATCTCATGTATAGACCTTCAAGACATTGTGAGGCTGGCCAGACTTCCTAGTGGAGAAGTTGCCCTGAAAATCTCTACAAGACCTTCCCTACATCTCCAGACACAACCTTCACATCCCAGACTCATGTGGAGACCCTGGTGACTCACAGATCTCATGTATAGACCTTCAAGACATTGTGAGGCTGGCCAGACTTCCTAGTGGAGAAGTTGCTCTGATCATCTCTACAAGACCTTCCCCTACATCCCCCACCTTCAGACACAACCTTCACTCATGTGGAGACCCTGGTTACTCACAGATCTCATGTGTATAGACTTCTTCAAATTTTTGTATATATTACTCCTATCATAATATTCATAATCATAACTGTAAATAATTCTTGTAATTTTGTATATTACTTATGGTGAGAATATAAAAACTAAAACACAAAATGTAAATAGACTTTATATAAGTATGGACGCCATATGTATAGTCTTCAGTCTTCTTATCACTTGCCAACCTTGTTTCACTGGGTAAAGCTCCTCCTTTTCTAATTTGTTTTAGATTTTCCATCTCAGTACTTAAGTCGTGTTTTTTATGTTTTGTAATTTTGTTTATTTCTTCCCAGCAATTTATTTCTTGTTCAATATTTTGGCTACAAAACTATGTCTTTATTTATCACGTCAACCCCGTGTTCCCTTGTATTGCCATTCAACATGAACATTTTCTTTTTTTTTACTTTTGTTCTGTTACAACCAAATGTTCTAATTTTTTTGTTTGTGACTGATTCTGATCTTTCATTTATATTTAATGCACCGACTTTCTCAAAAATGTTATAAATATTGTTTAAAGTAATTAGCAACAATAAATTAATGTTATTCCTGCATTAAGATCACTGTTAGATGTTAGTTTTGTCCATATCGTGTATTTTGCAATTTGTATTTTTAATATTTTGACTTATTTGCTAGTTTTCAATATTGTTACATATAAGTTAGCCTAAGTTGAAATGTTTCAATATTAGCTGATCTTGAAAATAATTTTTGTCCAAAAAACATTTATGTTAGGCCTACCAGTTTTTTTGTACCGGTATTTATAGGTTACCTCTTGGCAAAGTAAATAATTATGGACAACATTATAAATTTATAACAAAAACAACGAAACTGTAGCTTAATCAATCAAATAAAAAATATTTTATGAGTTTAACAATGTTTAGGTTGCCTTTAAAGCAGTAACCATTAAGACCTGTAATAATTGCAATACTAGGCATTATTATTTTGTAATATTTAATTTTTGTTACATCATAATTCGAAATTTAAGTAGTTTCAAGTTAAATTATAAGTCATATTGAACCATGTATATTAATAAATTATTCGTATATAATAAATCTGTGATAGAATACTGATATCTTTATATTAAATTGACTTTTTATTTTCAAGCCCATTTTATCTTTATTTATACTTGTTTATAAAAGGCAAATAATAGCCTACCATTCACTGACACTTTAGACAACTACGTTTCTAACCAAAATACGGCCTAGAATTAATTACCTATCAAATTTTACATAGGATGTCGATGTATGGTGTTGATGAGCAATAAGACGAGTTTCAAAATTCGAAATTTAAGGGGTTTGGGAGGGGTAAAATTATATTTCCGGTAAAATTCTACTATGTGTAAGCCTTCATTTCTGTCTAAGCTTAACATTGGTTGCTGTCCAATGCTTGGATCTTCAATCCGATAGAAAATCGTTATTGAGGAATTAAATTATCTCCAAACCGTAAAATCAATATAAAGTTAATGGAAGTTATTTTAAAATCATCACCAAAAGATAATTAATCGATTCAAAATAGCCTACGTGTTTTTTAGGTTTTTTATATGCAAAATTCATGTACACAATTTCATAACTGTAGCTCAATTAGTTTTTTGAAAAACATTTTGTACGCTGAAACATGAAAAAGAGAATGTTGCTTCAATTATCACGTCGATGGTCACCAGTGTGGTTAGTGGTGATGTACAATGCATGATTAATAAAATAATATAATTAACAATTTTAGAGGATTTATCGTATGGACAAACGCTTGCATCACGCTTGCATCTGAGTCCCTCTTGCCGAGGATACGAGCCTGGAGAGTCCTAGAGGATTATACGGCCAGTGACCACCAGTACATCATTTTTGATGTCATGGATAGTCATCAGAGACAAGCTACCGTGTCTCGGCAGGTGCCCGTTCGGTGGAACACCAAAAAGCTGGACGTGGCCAAATTCACCGAAGTCATACTACGGGGAGAGCCAGTGGTACATGCTGCATCTGGCGTGGCTCACGCAGAGACATCAGTTACATCATTGATGAGGCTGATAGTCTCGGCCTGCGAAGAGTCAATGCCTCGCAGGAGATCCCGGTGCGATAAGCGACCTGTGTACTGGTGGACAACCGAGATCGCAGAACTACGACGGGCAGCATTGAGAGCCAGACGTCTTGCTACCAGGGCCAGAGAACCTGAAGATAGACGTCTTAAGTCTGACGCTTACAAGGTGGCTAGGAAGTCTCTTCGCCGGGCCATTAACCGGAGCAAACGCAGTTGCTGGGAGAAATTAAGGGACGATGTTGATTCCGATCCGTGGGGCCTTGGTTACAAGATAGTAACCAAGAAGCTTGGCACCCGCTCTCCACCTTCCGTTATGGACGGGGCCTCTATGGAGAGGATCGTAAAGTCCCTTTTCCCGACTCACACACTGCGCCCATTGCGGGAGTTCGGAAGGGTGGACGACGTACCGCTTTTCAGTCTCGAGGAGTTGGAGGCGGCCGTTCTGTCCCTGAAGAACAACAAGGCTCCTGGACCGGATGGGGTACCTGGTGAGGCCCTGAAGAAAGTCTTTTCAATAAACCCACAAATCCTTTTGAGCACGTACAATGCCTGTCTGGCCGAGGGGAAGTTTCCCTTCTGCTGGAAAACAGCTAGGCTTGTGCTCGTGGGGAAGGGAAAAGGAAACCCAGACCTACCCTCCTCTTACAGACCTCTCTGTATGTTGGACACTGCTGGGAAAGTCTTGGAAAAGTTGATCCGTTCCCGACTGAATTCAGCCGTGGTTGCTGCAGGGAATCTATCCCCTCGTCAGTACGGTTTCAGGAAGGGACGGTCAACGGTTGACGCTATTGAGGAGGTAAAGAGAGCCGTAATGAGAGCTGAGGAGTTTAACAACTATTCTCGTCGGGTTGTGCTGCTTGTAACACTTGATGTGCGAAACGCATTTAATTCCGCGAGGTGGTGCGATATGCTCGACGCACTGGAGAACACTTTCCACGTCCCGGCATACCTCATGCGCATGATAGAGGACTACCTCCGGTACCGCCTCATCATTTACGACACTACAGAAGGCTCCAGGACGATGGATGTAACTTCTGGTGCTGCTCAAGGATCCATACTGGGCCCGGACCTCTGGAACGTCGCCTACGACAGCCTCTTGAGATCCGAGATGCCTGAGGAAACTGTCCTAGTTGGGTATGCAGATGACGTTGCGGCTTTAATAGCTGCACGTAGCATTGAGCTTGCCCAGCTGAAACTAAATCGAGTCATGCGAACCATTAACGCATGGATGGCAGAACATGGTCTCTCGCTCGCTCTGAGCAAAACTGAGATTGTCATTCTGACTAAAAAGAGGATTGACACCATCGTGCCTTTGATGGTGGGGAACGTTGAAGTCCAAACCACTCGTGCCGCAAAGTACCTTGGGGTCATGGTGGACAGCAAGCTCAGCTGGCGAGACCAGATCACCCGTACGGCGGACAAGGCCGCTAAAATGGTTTCTTCCCTTAGTCGGTTAATGGCCAATGTCGGAGGTCCACGGTCCAGCCGCAGAAGGCTGTTGATGTCTGCGGTCCAGTCAGTGCTCCTGTACGGTGCGGAGGTCTGGGCAGACGCTCTCAATAAGGAGGTATATAGGATGCGGCTCGCCCGAGTGAAGCGTCAGGCAGCACTAAGGGTAGCATCTGCCTATCGAACAGTGTCCGAACCCGCCGTCCTGGTGGTTGCTGGAGTCATCCCCGTCAAACTTTTGGCGGCGGAGAGGAAGGCAATTTATCAGCGCCGTGGGGAGGACCAGGCAAGTATTGAGGAACGCACCCGGACCTTCCAGCTGTGGCAGGAGAGCTGGGAACAGGAGACAAGGGGGCTCTGGACCAGGCGACTGATACAAAAGGTCCAACCTTGGGTTAATCGGCGGTGCGGAGAGGTGAACTTCTACCTCACCCAATTTCTGACGGGTCACGGCTTTTTCCGGTCGTACTTGTTCAGGATGGGCAAAGCCGTGTCACCCGATTGCATATACTGCCCAGGCATTCCCGATGACGTGGAACACACTTTCTTCCACTGCCAGCATTGGGAAAGGCCCCGCCTAGAGGCTCAACAGTTCGTAGGACTGCTGTCGGTGGACACGGTCATACCGATGATGATGGAGGGTGAGGACAATTGGACCTGTGTGTCACTTTACATCCAGGGTGTTCTCCGCGCCAAGAAGCTTGACCTCGACTGGGATGCGGTGTAGGTCAAAAAATAAATAATGCCAGAAACGGTGCGAGCCCTGTGGGCTTAGGTCACATGTTGGCCTGACTTGAAGTAATGTGACAAACAATTGCAGGTCTGTGTCCAACAGAGTAGAGGGGGTTTTTTAGTGAGTAGTCTGTGACTCAGGAGTCTCACACTACAGGCTGGCTACCTGTGTGCGTAAAAGCATTTTCCCTCCTCACCCTAAAAAAAAAAAAAAAATCGTATAGACAAAAAGTACAACAGCAAAAGAAAGAAAAGGTGATTTTCCCTACATTAAATTACTGCCTACCTGTTTTTGGATACAGCTTAACACAGGAACAGATCACAATACTTCACAGCTACAGAATTGCTCCCTGAGGTTCGTATACAACCTAAAAAATATGATCATATATAACAAGTCACCGTAGGATCTCA